TATTATCCATTAAATTCAATTTAATCAGCATTAGATACCATATCCAAACTAGTTTGTAAAAAAGTTCTTTTATACTTACAGATTTATACTTTAATATTTTTATCCCATATATTCTTCCTTATTTCAATACTTATTTCCCCATCCAAATCTGAGTCCTCTAATATTTTAAGAATATAATGTTGGTACTTTACTTCTATCAATATCTTATAAATTCCACTTGTTAGCCCTTTCATTGTCTTATTTTCATATTCCTTGTAATTCAGTTTCTTCAAAATTGTAAGATCCCTGCATTTACCATTTCTTTTTACCCATTCTTTAGTGCTTTGTTCCAATTGAATAAAATTAAGATATTTTCCCCTTCTAATACTGCCATTATTTGCCCCGTATTAGTCATACTGTATTCTCCAACCAATCTTTTAATCAATTAACTTGTTTTTCTTAATGTTTTCTCCAAACTCCTTCAAGTTCTCTGGAAATTTCTCTAATTCTGCTATTCCAAAATGTTCTTGGACTAAAACTCCCAGAAGCCTCAACAACTAGCTGTGCAGGCCAGAACTTCTGGGAGTTGTAGTCCAAGAACATCTGGGGACCCAAGGTTGGGAGCCACTGTACTACTAGATATAATGGGAAATTAATGGAATAAATATTTTTCTATACTTACTCCGAATTTGTAACATATTTCTAAGGAAAGAAGTTTCTGTCTTTTTTATAATACTCTCGTTATTTAGTTTTAAAAGAATATTTTCGAAAAAATCCTGCAACGTCTTGAAATTCCAACTTTGAACATATAAATTATCAAGCTGAGATATTATACTCACCATATATCTCATTTGATTAACTATATAAAATAACTTTATATTCTGAAGACCTAACATTCCTGATTTCTGAGATTTATGCAAGCTGTTATCTTTATTGGTGACATAATAAACTTTGTTTCTTTTGATACTGTAAGCTGCCTTGGATCCTTTAGGAGAAAAGTGGCATATAAATATTTTAAATAAATAAATAATAAATGACACATATTTAGGTAAAATCTTCATTTTACACACTGCTATGTTATCAAACCACTATACTCCAATCTTTCTAAAATCATTCAATTTATCCTTAATTTCTTGTTTTGATTTATCCTTTTCCTTTTTAAAACATTGCAATTTTTGTAATATTTATACCTAGATACTTCATAATACATAATTGACCTTGAATTTATTCCTAACCTTCTCCTTCTCCTCTTTATTTCAACTGAACAACATTGTCTCTGATTTATGCCAATTTGTCTGTAAATCCATTATCTCCCCAAATTTTGTCAAATGCAATTTGACTTGATCCATAACCTTAAATGAGTAGTCTATTATTAATAAAGTATCACCAATAAATAAGATAATCTTAATTTATCTTTGAATCTATACCTCTTATTAAATTATCTTTTCTAATATCATTTTCTATAACTAATGCAAGGTTGACTCAGCCTTCCATCCTTCCGAGGTCGGTAAAATGAGTACCCAGCTTGCTGTGGGGGCAACGTGTAGCCTGTATAATTAAAAATTGTAAACCGCCCGGAGAGTGCTTGTAGCGTTATGGGGTGGTATATAAGTCCAATAAATAAATAAATAAATAAATAAATGATCAGGGAAAGGTGGCCAGACTCCTTACTGGAGTGAGAAAATACCAACATATCTCTCCTACTCTGGCCATGCTGCACTGGCTGCCCATTCATTTCCGCATTGACTTCAAAGTGTTAATGCTTACTTATAAGGCCCTAAACGGTTTAGGACCTCGATACTTGGCGGAATGCCTGCTGCCACCAAGATCTACTTGGATCACCCACACAAGCCAGGAGGTGAGGATTGTTTGGAATATCCTTATGTTTTACTGTATACACCTTTATTGGAAGCTGCCCAGAGTGGTCGACCAGACCAGATGGGCGGGATATAAATCAAATAAATAAATAATAAATAAATAAAGGGGATATCCCTGTCTAGTACGTCAGCCTAAGGTTAACTGTTCTTTTCACTAACACAGTTGGCCATTCCACACAATCAAATGCTTTCAAAATATCTAATGCAATTACTCCCACTTTTAATTTTTGTTTACCTGTAACATCTATTGCATTCAATACTCTTTTAGTCAAATCTGCTATCTGTCTCCCTGCTATAAACCCAGTTTGGTCTTCCTTGATATATTTAACAATAAAATTATTTATTCTCTTTGCTAATACTGCTGTAAAAATCTTAGCATCTTGATTAATTAAAGGAAGAGGTCTAAAAGCACCCAGAGCTGCAAGATCTTTATTAGGATTTGGAATTAATACTATTAATGCATTCTTCTAAGATCATAGAATCTTTCCATTATTTTATTAAACAAGGACTTCAACATATATGTCAACATCTTTCTAAAGGTTTTATAATATTCCAGTCCTAATCCATCTATCCCTCCTTTTAATTTATTAATAATATCTTCCATCTCTTCACTTTGAAAAAAACATTTCATCACATCTCCACCTCTTGTAATTTATTCCCTACATTTTTCTCTAGATACACTCTCATTTTATCCAAAGAAAGCTTTCCACCTGTATAGAACTTATTTTAAAAAATTATGAAACACATCTAGTTTTTCTTTTGTTAAATTGCACTTTTTAAAACATTTCCATCCTTAACTATTTAGCTGTTCGTTTGCTTGCTTGCTTGCTTGCTTTTTTTGTTTGTTTGTTTGTGGGTGGACTGGCAACATTCTTGAATTCTTCTTACTTAATTCAAAATGATCTCTTTACAAATATATCAAGCTCCTATGAATGCTTTCCATTTCAATATTCTGCAACTCTTTTTTGTAGCTTGTATTTCCAGTAATGTTTGTGTATCTCTATCTTTATATAGATTTTCATTGCCTGGTGTGAGCTGCAGGAGAGAGGGGGGATGGTTGATTTTGGCAGAAGCAGTGGGATGTGGCACTGGTATACCCTCATATCTTGACCTTTGTCCTCTGAACTAAAGGTTCTGTCTGTTTTTTACTTTGGGTGAATTTAATTAATAGGAGAAATTGTCTGAGCATAAATTCACCAGCATTCATATCCCTTATTCAGATTATTTGAGAGTGCTCCATGGTTTAAAATCTTGTTAGAGGAAAAGGAATAGTTAGCAGCAGAAATGTCCTGAGGGGTTTAAGTGCACAATTTGGGATTTTACTTCCTGCACTTGTATTTAGAAGCCGTTCTCAGCAACATTCCAACATGGTGTCAACATTCCAAGCTGAATGCTGAAAGCCATACCTCAGTTTTGGTTTCAGTTGCTTTGTTATTTTTGGGGTTATTGTCATTCCTAATACCTTCTTTCCTTTTCTTAACTGACAAAATAGCAAAGTTAATTTCTGCTTATTAAATTGTACAATAATAGCCTGTTTTGGTAATAAAGTTCTAACCAGATAAGATTATTCAGAATGAAACCCTAAGGATGCTTGTAGACAAGTTAATGCTGTTGAACTCTGGAAGTTGCTTAAGAGTAAATATACTAATGATTGCATTGTGGATTAGATTTTGTGTTTGGTTTCTCTCGCCCTCTGCCCCCAAATAGTATATTATTGGCATAGCTACAACAGAGAGTATTTCAAAAAGAGAGAATAAAAAGATATTTCAGGGAAAGTAACACAAAGTTTTTGAAAGTGATCTATAGCTATTATAATTAATTTATGTTAATCTTTAGGTATATATTCTGTCCCCACATAAGCATATTGGCTGAGTAATCTTGACAAGCAATTTTCTTTGTCTTGCTTTAAAAAGTTTCTTTTGTGTGCATCTTATTCTTGACATTCTTTCTCAATGTATTCCTCTACCTGTACTGTACTGTTAAGTGTACATTTTGCTCTCTTTAACTTCAGAGCTCACTCAGGGAGTCCAAAGTTCTCTTCTATTCAATGCACTTTTTAATTTTATTTTGGGCATATTTTCAGATTGTGAGGTGGTACATTTTTCTTCTGGCACAGACCTAATATTTTACATGTTTTTATAAACAGAAGATGTCACTGTTCACTTCCAGCATTGTGCCAGGTGTGATTGTCGGTTCTTAGAATACGCATTGCTTCATTTCTGTTACACAAATACTGAAAGGGTACCGGAGCCATCTTTAAATCAATACCTACTAGCTGCAGTTAAATCTAGATTGATCTCTAGGCCATGTGTAGGAATGTGTAGCTCTCCAGAGATTGTCAAATTAAATTTCACATCTTCACCTACCATTACCTATTCTGACTGAGGCAGATGGGAGTTGTATCCAGTCATATCCATGTATACGTGTTAGGTACTCTCAAGTCACATCTGGAAACTCTACTTGGGTATTTCATGGCAGAGCCAGAGGTCAGAAGTTTAATTCCCGACTGTGCGTACCTGGAGACCAGCCAGGCGGTGTAGCCTTGGGCAAGCTGTACTCCCAGGGAGGTCCCTAGAAGAAAGAAATGGTTGGCCATTTTAAAGTACAGTATTCGCTACCTAGAAAGATCACAAGAATTGACTTGACAGCACATAATTTTCTTATAACTGTTACTATTAATAGGATTTCAAGATATGCGAAATGTTTAAGGAGCAGTCTTACCGATGCTGTCCTCTGGTGAGTTTCCACGGCCAAGCCAGGATTTGAGCCCAGGTCTCTTGAGACCGAGGCTGACACACTACATCACATGGGGTCTCTCCATCTGTAGGACTACACATTCCCCATCAGTGCTCTAGGCTCAGAATCAGTGGAGGTTATCAATGCATGTAGAATAATACACATTTTAAAAATGGATCCCAAGTACTGTATTCTCCAGCTTGTGGCCGGAGGCTGGCATGTTACAATCTCACTTCTGTTTGTGCCCAGTGGCAACATTGCTAATTTTAGCCCGTTCCATTTCATGCTCTCTGCCTGCCTTTCAGTCTTCACCTCATCTGCTAAACTTGCTCACTGTAATTCCCTTCAAGGGGGAGAGGTGGTAATTCTGTTTTAACATACGAGCCTGACTTGTATATTTCCCTGTAGGTTGATAAGGAAATCTGGACTGAGCTCATCCCTGGGATTGCTGACATATTGGTTGGATCAAAGGCATGTCACAGTAAGTGCAGAGGTTCTTTCACCCAATAAACTCTCTTTCTCCTTTTTTTTTCCTTTCTCTTTCCGCTAAGTCGTGCTTATGGTTTGGATGGTCGGTTTGTTCCCCTCCAGGCCCACCTGGAAAACCGCCAGCCTGTCCCTGACCATTGGCTCCCCAGCCAATGAAGAGCTGAGCAACAGTAAAGCCCGTCACACCTATTCCACTTTGATCCAGCCATTATCCATTGATCCTCAAAGAGTAGGTCGCATTTTCATTTTTTTTCCCTTTGCGTTACTTGAAAATGTTTTCGCAAAAATCCCTCCAACTATTCAGCCAAATGCTAGGACTCCAGGTTTGTCTCCTCGCTGGTTTATACCCCTTCCCATTTAATCCTTGTCCCTTTTAAACCATGTCTGGCTGGGGTTTTGGCATCAGTCAGTGGGAGGATTAGAAGCAGTCATGTGGCTGTCCTGGAGCTTAGCCATTTGTCATATTCTTCCAGAGACATTTCAGAAAGGATAGTTGGATCAAAGCAGCTTCTTAGTATAGAGATGGAGAATTCAAAACATCCAGGGATTTAAATGCCTTTCCGGCAGTTGGGGAGAAGTGTATAGAGATTACACGGGTTTCTTTTTATAAAATTGCATTTTGTAAAACGAAAAGCAAATGCATTTCCAGCCATCACAATTATTTCTATGGGTTCCTACTTCATCGTATTGTAAGATGTTTTCAGGCACCAGTAAAGAATTCAGTTTCCTTGTGAGGAAAAAAGTACTACTGTAGAAAATGTACAAGTGGAACATGGAGAGTTACAGGAGCAGATTGGCGCTCCTTGGTTTCCAAGAAGCAAGTCAGAATGCTTGGGTCATGAAATTAAAAAACCCAAGAAGTATAGATCACTATAGTTGATGAATTCAAGATAAAACAGATGGGAAAAGAAGGAGGAGGAGAACAGCTGATTGGCTGCAGAACCTGGGAGACCCGTTTGGATGCCACAAAATATCACAGTTTAGAGCTGCCCCATCCAGTGTCAAAATATCCACAGTGTGATGCAACCACTGGTAGGAAGGAACAACAAGAATTTATTCCCCCACCTCCCCTGCCAACATACCACATACTATAACTCTAGAATGCCAGCTCCTGACTGTGAAGTTGGATTCACACTTTTACTAGCCACCAACATAAAAAACCTTCGAGCAAAATTCTTCTAACTGTCCATGTCTGCTGTCTAAGCACCTTGAGTTGTTAGCCAACCATAAGCCATTTTTTAACTTTGAAAACACAATAGTATTCCTGAGACATGATACCTGACTGTTCACCCGTTATTTCCAGACATCAAACTTTCACCTTATTATGAAATGTCAGGGCTGGGCAACCTGTGGCTCATTCTTGTTGAAAATTATGTGGTCATTTAATACATACATAGTACATAGGCATCCTTCAGTCTCGAGAGACTATGGTAACATGCTCTGTATCGAGAAGTGTCCTCTCCAGAGCATGAAGCCCAGGTAAAGTAGTATGGCTGTTACTCAAGCAGCTTATTTAATAAGCAATCAAGAAAACTAGTTTTTAAAAAAGATTTTCTCTTTTTTTTAAGTAAAGAGAAATAATTATATTCATATGCTATTTTAAAGATGCCCTTCGAAAAGCCAAAAGAAATTGTTGCATATGTTTAGACCAAGCTGAATAAAAAGAAGGGAAAACAGTTTCCCCTTATTCTATCATTTCAGTAATAGATAAACAAGGCCTTTTAATGAAGTGATTATTCTATTGATAATTGCCGTCTTAAATATAAACATTATAAACATTAGGATCATTTCCCACATTTCCTTAACTAGCTGACTATTGTTGGGCTTCTTTATATTGCCAGAACTGCAGAACACATATTTTGGCTGTTTTAAGAAGTGTAGTAATCATTTGTATATATACACTCTCTACTATATTTTCAGGAAAGACAGTAGTATAACATTTGGATTTCTTGACAGCTTATACCCTCTGGGGTCTGAAATGTTCTGACAATCTTACCAATCAGTCAAAACCAGAAGTCTCTACTTATACTAGAATCTTCGGTGACTTTCTGAAAGGAAAAGATAACTAAAAGTTGTTGTCATTTAAACAGAAAGAATGGAGCATGGTTTACATGTTCCAGCCGCCATGTGGTGATACCGCATAATTAAATACTTGTGTGCAGCTCACATGAGCAAGTTGGGCTTTTTCAAATATATGTTATGACATGTGGCCAAAAATAAACATTTGTGGTGGCAAACTCATGATTGCCTGATGTACATGGTGAGCCACTGGTATGCAATGGCTCACCACGCCATAAATAGCTACCGTGTGAAGTGTCTTTAAATGGCTTCCAGATATTTAAATGGCTTACGGATACTTGTTGTGGTGTATAAACAGGCCCTAGGTTTACTTCTCTTGGACCATTTTCTGCACAGTAACGCTCAGTTAATGGCTTGCAGGCTATAACATAGGTTGTTTCCAAGAATGTACCCTGAAATATTTGGGGGGGGGGGAATCATAAAACCAAGTAGTAATTTTGCATATTTATAAAGCAGACATTTAGTACATTAAAGTGCGCTATAGTTGTTGCAGCATTCATCTCTTCACAGTGTGTTTTAAGGTTTTTTCCCCCTCAAATGTATAAAATGAAAAGATTAAGTCAGGATGATCTGCTTTAAACCATTAAATACATGCACAAATTGGCTGAAAGCCAAGCATAACTTTTCAGTGTTGGGTTTCTCAGGATCACTGTGCTTGTCAGGGCAATGTGGAAGAATGGTAATCAATGACATGTCCACCCTCTTTCCTAAGCTAAAGAAAGAGATCTTCCTGTCCCTGCTAGCCACATTGTGTGATTCAGGTTTGCAGCTGAAGTTCTGTAGCCAGACAGCAGTGAGGGAGAGAAGGCTGTGTTGTATAGGGTTGTGTAGTGATTTATATCACTGGTGCCATTCCCCAGGCAGCTCCCCCTTCACCATGAACATGTGGCTTGTATTTGATGGTATAACAATGACAGACCCAAATGCACATCCAAAGCTTCATATGTAGATGAAGTAAAACCACCAGTCACTGAGTGCCAAACTACACCTCACAGAACGCCCAGTATTACAAGTTCCAGCCCATTAATGTTCCAGAGAAATTATTCAGGTAGGTCTTCATGACAAGGCAATCATATTTGCAAATGAAGCTTGTGTTTACCTCCTCATGACCAGCCACAAAACAAAGCAAGGTAATTTGCAAACTACACAAGGTTTGTAAAACTCCTGCTGTGACAATTAGAAGTTATCAGCACGTAAGGAGTTCCCTCTTCTAATGATGGGCTATCTGTATGCTGCCAACCAATTTCCTTCTTGTGAATTATTCTGTGTATTGGTCAACAGGAGCATTTCCTAGAGTGGTTAGTAAGGATTCTCAGAAGAAGATTTCACTTAAACTAGTCTGTAAATTTCAGTTGATAGTGCACTAAGTATTTCCTTCTTTCATAAGCGTCTGATTAGAGGAGATGTGGGGGGGAGGACATGTAAGTACCAAAGCTCTGGATATTGGATATTCTTATTCCAGAGTGTCCCATTTCATTAACATGCAGATGCAGAATCCACCCCAGATCCAGACTGGGTGTTCCTATGAAGCAGCCCCAGTGTTCATAAAGGTGAGTGGCGCAATCTATTCTGCAATGGCTTGTATAGATATAAAAAAATCCTCCTGTGGTGCAAAGGGAAGGCATTTCCATTCACACAGGAAAATCTCATTCTTCTCAAGATAGCTGCTTCTTATTTATGTATTTGTCATATTTCTATCCCTCCGTTCCTACAGTGAGCTCAAGGGCACCGATAGTTGTCCTTCATTCCACTGTAAACTCCCAGCAAGCATGTGTGGTAAAAGAAGGTGAGCATGAGGCTCAAGATCACCCAACATGTTTCATGGCAAAATGGGAATTCAAATAAAGTTCTTACGATTTCATATAAAGCCCTAAATAGTTTAAGACCTTGATATCTGGCAGAGTGCCTTCTCCCACCCGGTTCTGCCAGAGTCACTTGTTCCAGCCAGGCTGGGCGGATGAGGGGCCTAACACTGAGGGAGGTCCGGAAGGAGAGAATGAGGAACAGGGCCTTCTCAGCAGTGGCCCCTTGCCTCTGGAACAACTTGCCCATGGAGATCTGCCTGGCTCCCTCTCTGGGTGTGTTTAGGTTAAAACCTGGCTATTTGGGCAGGCTTTCCCTCCTGCCATATCTTAATTTCTTATACTTCGCCATCCTGGACCTATAATATATGTTTTTGGTTTTATTGTTTTTAAATTTGTAAACCATCCAGAGTAGACCTTTGGTCTAGAGATGGGCAGGATAGAAATCCAATAAATAAATAATAAACCAAGCCTCCCGGTTTGTAGCCTAACACTCCAAGCATAACAGCACTCTGGCTCAAACTATCAAAGAAGAGGAAATGTGTCACCAAAAAGGAGGACCAAATATAACTGAGACAAAAATAAAACTATTTCTGACCTCAGTGGCAAAAACAGTGACAGGGTAAACTTTGTGTCTGCTAATTCAGTCTGCTGAAGGGCAGCTTTGGGGCCCTGCTCGCCTTCCTATTTTATACTTCTATTTTAAAATTAGACTGGCCCCAATAGCCTTTCTAATACATACAGTGCTTTGTGGTGCAGTGGTTCAACTGCAGTACTGCAAGCAATATTCTACTCATGGCTTGAGTTTGATGCCAATAGGCTCAGGAAGCTTGATCAAGGCTGACACAACCTTCCATTCTTCCGCGGATGGAAAAATGTGTACCCAGATCACGAGGATGGGGGCAAAATATTCCTTTCATATTTACTTTGTAAACTGCCCAGAGAATGTTTTGAGCACTATGGGGTGATGTATAAGCAGCACACTTTGCTTAGCTTTGGTACAGGATTAACCCTATAGAGAGCCACAGTTACTCAACCCCAACATGGAAGAGTGACAGAAGCACCTGAAGGAGAAATCTTGCTTCTCCCTGAGAAAGCTCTAGTTTATCCTTAAATACCTATCAGGGCATCTATGGGTTAAACTTTTTTAAACCACCCAGAGTAGTGTGTTTACTAGAGGGATGGCATAAAAATCAAACAAACAAACAAACACATAAAACTGTATAATTCTGTTTCTGATTGCTCAAGCATTAAAGCTTTGAAGTGCTTTTTTTCAGGGGCTGGGGGGGGACAACATCATATCAGCTTATAACTGGAAACTGCCATCTCGTGAAGTTTGACCCATAGTCAGAATATGAGACTACAGAAGTATTTGGAGAGGCTTACATCTTGGTATCATCAAAGCAGCATTCACACCTAAAGTACATTTCCATGTGGTTTATTTGATGGCCAGATGCAAACATGAACCAAACTTCTGCCAATATCCAATATTCATCCTCCATGCATGCTCACTTCTGGTTTCTTAGAAGAGAAGGGACAAAGCTAAATGCAAAGGAACAGTCCTTTAGACCAGTGGTTTCCAATGTTGGGTCCCCAGATGTTCTTGGACTAAAACTTCCAGAAACCTTCACCATTGGCTGTGCTGGCCAGGATTTCTGTGAGCTGCAGTCCAAGAAAATTTGGGGACCCAAGGTTGGGAACCACTGCATCGGACAGTAACAGTTCTATCATTAAGGCTGTAATCCAGTACATGCTGCCACAAAAGTTGCTACTGAAGTCAATGGAGCTTATTTCTAAGTACTGTAGATGCATACGCAGTTGCACTGCATTCAAATCAACTCTGCTTAGACGAATCAAAATGTTTGTCCAAGATGGTTCACGAGGATACTATTCCAGGATCTAACTCCTTAACAATTGCCACCCTAAATTCATAGAAGAACTGGCAGTGAGGCTGCATGATCATGGTTGCCTTTGACCCAAATGACTCTCCTGTCACAAACTGTATTACTTCCTAAGCACAAAAAAAGCTTGGCATATGTGTGTAGACGTTGATTTTGTATATTAACTCTGGACTGGTTTCCTTTGGTCCTTTAGGGCCTGCAGAATATCAACGCCACTAAAGGCCAGCTAGTGGTGTTCGAATGCCGAATACAAGCATCCCCCGCTCTCCAAGTTCACTGGTACAGAGAATACAATGAAATAATTGATTCTGCAGACTTCCGAATATTAAGAAAAAGTAGGTATTTTCATTTTGAAAATGACTTCCAGACATGATTTCTCCTTTTTAAAAAACATGTTTTTAAAAACCTTGCATCACCTTCAATAAAACAAAGGTCATGCTGGCTTGGGGATGATAGGAGTTGTAATCCATCATAACTCCAGGTTGAGGAAAAATACAGTAGCTTGAGCAACATATAGCCTGAGTGACAACTGAGGTAAGCTTCAGTGTGAAATTTTGTGACCTTTTACAGACACAGTGCTTAAATAAATAAATAAATAAATAAATAAATAAATAAATAAATAAATACTCAAACCTTTCTTCACATCTACAAGTATACTGCTTTGTTTTAAGGTCTGAACAAAAGTCCATATTATAATGGAATGTTTCTTTTTATAAAATGTTATGTTTTCTCTAGAAATTGTGAGAAACAACAACTTATTCAAAGATTAATTAATTTGAACCAGAAAAAAGACTAATTACACAGCTTTCACATACTGTTTTGCTGATTCATTTAATTGATTCTCCCACACATTTACAATGTTTAATTTGTAGCTAGACTCTATATAGAGTCTAGCTACATGCCTCTGGCCATCTCAGATTTTTACTACTGATGAAAAAAGGGCATGACTGATTATTGGACACTGATAACATCATCAGCCTTGCACAGCATCGTTGCGGACCAAGATTTTGGCCAATGTGTTAGAATCCCAAATGCAGACAAAGAGTAGGATTATTCTCTTTCGTTTACTAAAGGATTATGAAAGGATGTCATAAGGACTTGCATTTCATAATTTGTGTAGATATAAAATTTAATATAAATTGTATTGCATTCTTGTTAATTGGCCCACTGGTTTTGCCTGAATTCTGTCTTTTTGAGTTGAATTCCATCCCTCTGTTTGATTTAATTGGTGACGTACAGAATTGTACATTTCATATAAATCCTGTCTCAGTCTCAGACATCCATTTTCAAGGATCCATGAAGAAAATTAAATAGAGTGCAATTAAGTATTTTCCAAAAATAAACAGTTCTATTTACAATAATTTAAAGTGAACACTTTGTTAATCCTCAAACATACTTTTAGGAGAGGGAGAGAACCAAAATGCTTTTAAATACAATGTCTAAAGTGAGATCTTCTAAGCACTGTTTTATTAATGTCTGTGTACTTTGTCTTAGGGAGGGAGAGAACGAAAGAGTTCCAGTCCCAGTTTGATAAATGTTTCCCCTCCCAATTTTCCTATTAACAGCTTGCCCTCTAGTCTGCACTTGGTTGCTTTTGTCTGCTTTTGAGAAAATATTGCAGTCAAAGAATTCTCCATAATTACATTTGTTTTATTTATTTTTTCCCCAGAAGCTTCCTCATCCCTGGTCCCGGGTAAGTAACTGGAAATAATTAGGCAACTCACAGAGAACTACACATGTATCATAAATCATCTGCCACAAGACACATCCAGTTGGCACACTGAGGCCTAGCATTCAAATGTAGATGCTTATCTGCACCAGTTGCATGCATATAATCCTGCTTCAGGACGCAGGTCCAGGTCGTTCCTTCTAGACTGAGAAAGCAATGATGAGCAAGTTATATGGTACAGCCAGGGCCAGACCTGCCGTGTGTTTCGGTGAGGCGGTACTCTGAGATGCAAATGTGCTGGGCATGGCAAGTTTGCTACCAAGTTTGCCACTGTGGGATTCCTTTATAAAAGCAATAAAAATATCAGAAGCACAAGGTAGTTTCCGACCCCATATGGGTCCTCATTAGGCGAGGCATCACAATGCAGAAGGAACATGAAACATCCAAAAAAAAAAAATCATGGCCAGATGTGAGAGTCAGTCTTCTTTGTCTGAAGCAAAATAGGGTTTGTAGACTTAAGTCAACGGTGTAGGTTGGTATGGATTGGAATGTCTTTCCCAATCCTCAAATGATTAAATGACAGCAATCATGGGAGCTGTAGTCCTGAATAGAGACGGGGGGGGGTATTCATATATGAGTATCCCCGCACAGGTGGTGTTAAGGAGGCGCTTCAACCTTGCAGCGAGTCTTGTCCTCCTGCCTCCTGCCAGGATGCAAATATTTTTTGAGATAAACCATGCACTTTGTTGAAGCACACTAAGCCTTAATTGCAAACAGAAACAGTAAAACACAGTACCTACTTCTATAGCCCTCTCCCCCCCCCAGTTACCAGTTTACTTTCATTTATAAAAACAACTAAGCTCTACTTCTATGAAAAAAAAACTAGATTAAACTCTCTGATACCACAGGCAGGGCAACAGCACAATATTCTGCTTAAAAGAGTCTCACCCAGTTTTGCCCTCCTTCCAGAGGAAGTCTGCACCTTGGTAATTACAGAAGCTTTTCCTGAAGATACGGGAATATTTAGATGTATTGCTGAAAATGAGTTTGGTGCAGTGGCATCCAGTGCACAGCTTTTTGTTTCTGAAGGTAAGCACAGATACATCCCTCTCAACAACCGCCAATTCTCGCAGGGAAAAAGACACTTTATATGTTCAGTTTCTTCAAGTTTTTTGGCAGCATAGCTTCCCGATTCTACCATGATTGTCAGCATGTGCTGTCAAGTCAATTCTGACTTGCATGCATAGGCATCCTTCAGTCTCGAGAGACTATGGTAACATGCTCTGAATGGAGGAGTGTCCTCTCCAGAGCATGAAGCCCGGGTAAGGTAATATGGAGGATAGGCTGTTACCCAAGCAGCAGATCCCCCCTCTCCACATTGCTGTGACTTATGGCGACTCTTATTAGGGTTTTCCGGGTAGAGAAGACTCCAAAGTAGTTTACTAGTCCCTTCTTCTGGGGGCAGCTCTGGGACTGTGCAGCTTGCCCAAGGCCACACAGGCTGGATCTACTTCACAGGAGGCACAGTGGGGAATCAAACTCTCAACCTCTGGCTCTGCAGCCAGACACCTAAGCAACCTTTATTCCTCCCCACTTGATCAACCTGAAAGTTAGCAAACTATTGGGCTTAGTACTACAGTGAACATAGATGTTCTTAAGTATATTTAGTTAAGCTTTCATATGCTTTGCCTAGTTTGGCACTCTCTGAAAACAGGCAGTGGTACCATTTGGGCAGAAGTATGTGGCAAGTATCAACACACCCACCCTGGCAGAATGGGCAGAAGGCTTACCACTGTTTGAAGCATATGAGGCATCTCCCACATATAGCAGGGTGGCAACATGCAATCCCTAGATGATCAAATGTATCATTCCCTGGTACCATCCCTCAAAATATTTTTTTTCTTCAAATTGGAGAAAACTGGCTTTAAAACTACCCTTCTCACCTCTAGAACTATGGGAGGCAATTTTGCCATGTTTTGAGGGGCAGAAACCATTGGATCCTCACCCTCCCAAAAAACTAAAATATTGAGGAACTTTTGGCCACTAGAAGGCACAAAGGAACATTTCAGTTAAAAATGTACTTCTGTAAATATATATATATATATTTTTCAGAGTGTTATTCACAGCAGCAGAGGTTGCCCACTAAGGTTCAGGATGAGCACCTGCAGTCCTCAGACCTCTGGAGATCACCCATCTTGATCTATAGATAGTCCCCACCACTACCACCACTATAGGTTTTACCTGTATATAAGGCCAAACTCTCTGGGCCAGACTATAAATTTCATTTAACATGTAGCATGCAGCTAATGATCAGGACCTGCGGAGAGGTGGAGATGTAGCTTGTCCCCATTGGGTTTTGATTTAAATCCACCACACAAACACATAAAAGTATTTTTAAAACTCCATTGGCGAACTGGACTTCACATAAAAACACAGAAGAGAATATTTATATGAAAGCTAGAGGGTGAGTTTTGTAAGCCACTACCACCGATGCCGGTCCCAATCCAGATCAAGGCTGTGTGTGTCTATCGAAGAAGTGATCTTTGGTTGCCTGCTACGTATTTAGTATAGTTTGTAGTTTGACCTTAGAATTAATTAACTGCACCACTGAAAATTGAGTGCCAAGAGAAAATTCAAAGTGTACACAGAGAATTGTTCTGTTGCTTTTAAAAAGTTCACTTCACACTGTGCCAAGAGAAAATCCTCTTATTGGTCCACTCAAAGTGTTTCGGTTTTCCAATGAAGAATAAGCACAATTCATATCAGCGAATAATTAATTCATTTTAATAAGTGCAAATGTAGGCCAGGATCCAGCTCCGTACTTTGGTAAGCCAAGGCATCTGAATCATTACACTAGGACCACTGTATCTGCAAGGGATTGGTTCCAAGCCCCCACGGATGCTGGAAAATACAAATTATACTGAAAGCTATATATAGCATGATCTCTGGCTCCCCCTAGTGGCCAGTTTTGATAACTTCAACTTTAGAAATACATATTTCTAGGATTTTTCTTTTAGTTTTTAAAATATTTTCAGACTGTGGATAAGTGGATCAGCGGATACTGATCCCGTGGATAAGAAGGGCCCTACTATAGCAGAATTCCACAAGGTTTTTATTTTTAGTAATTCTATCCCAGATTTTAAAGTTTCAGTTTCTAAATAGTTGCACTTGGTTCTTCTTAAAGAGAAAGGCAGAGTAGACATATTTTAAATAAATAAATAAAATATGTTTTAAAATGCTTTTTACCAAGAAGATATGGTGTCATTTCCCTGATTGAGCAAACATAGTTCTGTATTAGAGAGAGTTACATTCCTGCTCCTAAAAGGAAAATAATGGAGTGGGCCACTGCTTTGATCTTTTTTGACTCACCGTTCTGGTTTTTTTGTTTGTTTGTTTAGGAATGGAAGAGATTGAAAGTTTCAAAGCATCTCCCTCATCATCAGATGTGATGGCGTCAATGCCTATCAGCTCTGAACCAAACAGCCAATATATGGCAGCAGGAAGAGATGTCCAGAACAAACCTTCCAGTCTTACACCACAAAAACCTTCTAGCTCAGTAAATCAGGTACAACACGAAAGTGCCTGGTGGCAGAACAGTGGTGATGAGATGAAGGATTTCCATACTGGCTATGAACAGCCCTCGGAGAATTCGTATTCATGGTAAGCCAAAACAAAAATTCTCATATAGCTTCAACACAATAGCAGCAACAGATTTTGCTACAAATCACTGCAAACAGTACTATAGACTTATGCCCCTGCTTCCAATGCATACTAACGCATGGTTTTGGAAAGCTGTGACCCAGCTGGTCCCCACGCATTGTGCTATATTAACCTGTAAGTCTTATCATGCCGCTACTGTAGTAGAAGCTTTCTGCCATAGATCTTTAATTCAGATAAAATTGCCAGACAAAGAACAAATGGATTGCTGATTACAGGGACTTTGATGTATTAGTAAGATACAACACAATCACCACCAAAGGGAAAACCACCAACACTGCCTTCAGCTGACTGGACATTTACTAAGATAACGTCATAATTTCCAGCCACTAGAAGTAGTACTGTGCAAGTCAGGCAACCCATCGTGAACAGAGGTCTCATCCCAAATTCCGGGGATGATCTGCTTCCTGCTTTGACCACAGGCTGCTCCTGGAAAGAAAGAAAGAAAGAAAGAAAGAAAGAAAGAAAGAAAGAAAGAAAGAAAGAAAGAAAGAAAGAAAGAAAGAAAGAAAGAAAGAAAGAAAGAAAGAAAGAAAGAAAGAAGAACGAACGAACGAACGAACGAACGAACGAACGAACGAACGAACGAACGAACGAACGAACGAACGAACGAACAAACAAACAAACAAACAAACAAACAAACAAACAAACAAACAAACAAACAAACAAACAAACAAACAAACAAACAAACAAGAATCCTTGTCAAATTGGCTGTGTAGCTAACATTGTGTTTTCACAATGAATTTGCAGTAGTTTTTTATGAAGGAAAAAAACATATAGTTCAGTGAAGCTAGTTATTCCAAACACAGCACTACAAGTAAACTAATTTTTAGTCTGAGATGTCTCTGGAGTGAATTGGATATTTACAAAATTATTTGTAATAGCAGAGCTCTCTATAAAGAAGTAATTCCTTCCTATAGGAAGAGCAGTAAGTAACTAATTTGTTGCTACTTGTCATAACATGCCAGCACAGATTAAGGAAGTTTTGACAGCGCAGTCCCCTGGAGGCCTGAGACAATGGACAAACCAGATGGGACATGAAATGCATTGTGAACAACTTCATCAGATCTTTGATAAGCATGGGATGCAAATGAAAGCTGGTGCATGCTCATAATGCTTTTTTAAAAATCTGATGTGGTTTTTGGCGTTGTCATTGTCACACCTACAACAGTTTGATTAATTTTTTTCCAAAAGTCCGGGAATCCATTTTACCATAACTTTGTATATAGGGAGGGCAGTTTTGTATCACAAAAAATGAGAACAAGAAGGGACACAGCTTTCTGCTAATTTAAATAGCATTTCCAAAAGGTGGAGGGGGGCACTTCTTCCATCTAAAACAAAGAGTTGCGGTTGAAGTTATATCCATGAAAGGATGGAAATTCAGACCCTAGAGCTATCTTCCCACAACTTTCTTGCATATTGACTTCCACCCCAAGTGAATCCAAAAGTGTGATCACTCTCTGATTTCCTACAGAAAGAAAAACTGCTTATCCACAGTTAACCCCTGCCTTCTTAGTTATCAACCAGATTTTATCCACCTCTCCTTCTCCCTGCCGTTCACACAACTGGCCAAATTTCTCATCCATTCCCCCATCCTGTAGAGAGGTGGAAAAGACCATCCCAATAACAAGAGAGGATCTTTTGCATTGGTTGCACGGCAATAATTGCCCAGTGTCAGCTGGAACTAAAGAGAATATTATGAATTGTGTTCGTTTCATAGAGAAAATCTTGTCCCAGTTAAATGCCCCTGGGCTGTAACTGAACATATTGAGGGGAAAAACTAAATGATGCAGGATTGACCATAACATGGAAAAGTTACCTCCCAGACTGACCACTAGCCTTGCTGGCTCAGGGATTGTGACCTGCTGTCCAAGCTCATTTGCCTCAAGGATTCATTGTTTCCCTAGTTCTGGCATTGAAACTGGACTGTGTGGGTCATATCAGTAACTGTATACCTGGATGAAAATAACTTTCAGCCATTCCTTATGCTTGATAGTTATTGCCAAAAGATGATGTCAATTCCAGTATTACATTTTGCATCCCTTGGGATACATGCACATGAAATCATTCCATCCAAATTAGTCATCCCTGCAGCTGGTTAAGGGATAATTCCATGAACCCGGCTAAATGGGAAACTGGGATTCAGTCTGCTTTTGTATTTATATGAGTTACAGAGAGAGCATTAAGATGATTGTGTTTGCATAGTCAGGTTAAGAAGGTGTTTGCATAGGAAAAATCCCAACAGCTGTCCCTTCAGTGCAAAATGTTATGCTGGGTCAGAACAGAAGATTTTATAGATGGCTTTCGTGGAGGGTTTCAAACGCTCTTTGGAACAGAATTAGTCAGTGTAATCCACTGACTATAGCTACAGGTTCAGCTCTCTGTTTTTACCTGGAAGTAAAGAAGTATGCTTAGGATGTCATCCTAAAAGTCCTATTCACGCATTTCTCTCTCTCTCTTTCTCATTTTCAAATGACTTGGCAAAACTGTTAACATACTTCATATTTTACACATCTAATCCTAAAAGTGTTCCTCACATCATAATATCCTGTGAAAGGTTGTGATAAGATGACATTTTTAAACTAGGTAATACAACTTGCATAAAATGGAGTATATTAAAATTATTCAACCCCCTATTCTGTACATACTGTAGTACCAGATACAGTACAGTAGAAAACGACTATAATATTAACAACGATATAAACCTCTCTAGAAGTGCTTCAATCAGTGGCTCACCTCAACCCTGGGAAAATAGACTTTGCCAATAGGTTCGTGAGAAATAGAGATAAACATGTGGGATCCGTTTTGGGTTCCATATATTTTCTTCAATCTCTTCTGACTTTGAGGCCCTTTTCTAAAATTAATTAGCACTCCATGTTCTCTGAGTATGCTCAGTCTTCATTGGCCAGTATTTTACACCTCCAAGCCAAAATGGAGGAGGAGAAACACCTCAATGTCTGTTTTGTTGTGGAACCTTGGAATTTCCCTTAGTCAGCAAAGTATGGTGTACAAAAAATTCAGCCTACAGCACAGGGAAAATGTGAAGGGAGAATACCTAAAAATCCAGCTTCATCTACCTCCCTTGTATACAAGCAATCACTTCAATGACTAGCGTAAGGAAGGAAAAAAGTGTTGTTACATTTGATCTTGAATTACAATTCAAAGAGTAAAAGGAATAAAAGAAAGGAATTGCAGCCTCAACCATGTGGGAGGCTTAGTTTGCCATGGCTGCAGTCATGTGGTGAAAGAAAAGGCCAGGAGAAGCATGGTTTCATGTTTGCTCTCCAAAGATGTCAGGAAAGGAGGAGGAGAAATCAAACAAACAAACAAACAATGGAAAGGGGGAGGAACAGGCAGAAGAGAGGCATGTTTTGCCTCAAGCCTGGGAAAATAGACTTTGCTAATAGGTTAGTGAGAAAGATAAGTCTCCTTGGTCCAGGAGAGTCCCTCTGGGTCCTTGGAAAAAACCCTCCCCACTAAAAGCCAATGTTAGTAAGCATGCAAGGTTGCTATTTTTCTCCAACATGTTTTTAGAGTGGATATGCTTCTGCCCATACGTTGAGGGACGTGGTGGCGCTGCGGGCTAAACCGCAGAAGCCTGTGCTGCAGGATCAGAAGACCAGCAGTCGTAAGACCGAATCCACGTGACGGAGTGAGCTCCCGTCGCTTTGTCCCAGCTCCTTGCCAACCTAACAGTTCGAAAGCATGTAAATGCGAGTAGATAAATAGGTACCATCTCGGTGGGAAGGTAAAGGCCACGTGACAACGGAAACTGTCTTCGGACAGGCACTGGCTCTACGGCTTGAAAAGCGGGATGAGCACCACCCCCTAGAGTCCGACACGACTGGACTAAAAATGTCAAGGGGAACCTTTACCTTTACTATGCTTCTGCCCAATCTCAGCTACATTAGAGATTTCTCAGCTGATGTATACTGGTACTGCTCTCTTTCATTTCTGGGGATGCTTTTAAAAGCTTGTCAGTGTGAACCAAGGAATGATAAAGTTTCTGTCCAGAAACTTTAATTATTTCCATATTTTCATATGACATACTTTTCTGCTCCTTTTCCAACCATGAGATCAGATGCAGAAATAGCTTGCGTTCGGACCGTTTGTGGCACAACACAGTGCAAACTATTTTCTGACAGTGGTTGTTGTGGGTTTTTCGGACTTCTTGGCTGTGTTCTGAAAGTGGTTTTTCCTAACGTTTCGCCAGTCTCTGTGGCCGGCATCTTCAGAGGACAGCAAACTGCGCAGTTTGCTGTCCTCTGAAGATGCCGGCCACAGAGACTGGCGAAACGTTAGGAAAAACCACTTTCAGAACACAGCCAAGAAGTCCGAAAAACCTGACAATCATTTGACACATAGGAGACCATGAACCAGCCTGACCTTGCTTCATGCCCAACCTGGGCCTTTTTGGTCCAGTGGCAGAGCTACTCTTTTATGGAGCCAGGATGGAACCATTTCTGTAGGGATGAAAGACCCACCTGAAGGGAGATTCCTTCCAGTGAAGCAACCATTTCCAATGCAATCAGATGTAATCCTTTCTCTCTGTCTGATCCCACTCCCAATTTGGTTCATCGTCCTATTGTTTCTCAGATGCTTTGTCTCTCAGTTAGTCATCAGGCCTTTGGGGGCCGTCTTCTTCCCCTTCATAGAGTTTAAGAAAGGCTTTGCAGGCATCTGTAAACCTCAGGGTTTTTCCTGGGTCTGATGTTCCTTCTTTGACATTCTGTAATTTGAGGCACAGGTAGATTTGAAAGAGAAGGGATACTGACATCAGTAAAATCTCTCGGTACATTTATTTGGAATGGGTCACATATTATTTAAAACAGTATATTATATATTTATTTTTGAAGGAATATGTCTTCTAAGACACACTAAAACTCATGTATTATCCTATGTGTGCATGACTCATTTCGTGTGGGGCAGGATATCTCTTTCTT